TCTAAGAAAACCAATAGGGAATCCCCACCTGTTCTTACCCCAAAATTAATCTGATATAAGAGTACTTCCGCGCCTTGTCTCAGCGTATAGAGGATTGCAAGAATTCGAGCTCACTCTGAAAATAGGTTTGTCGAGAGTTTATTACAGAAAAATAGATTAGCATTTCATAACGTGTAAAGTTTATTTTAAGTTACCCTATTATGATCTAAACACAGTAAGATAATTCAAAATGTTTTTAACATTCAAAGTACAAATCATTACTGCAGGAATAATCCGCATCAATACATAGTTTGGTAATGATAACCAGCTGGACAAATTGATCGTCCTATCAAGTTTATCAGCTTTGGTCGGTTAGTGACTACAGAAATACTGCAATTTTTGATCATCGTAAAATTAAGCCACGTATCGAGCGTGCACGTCACCCGATTGTCTACTAAAGAAGTTTTATACGGTGATATACTATGTATGACATAGTGACAATACAGCCGCTAAGAGCTAAACGCACATTTATGCTGTAAATATTCGATCATAGTTGTCGTCGGAGCATTTCTCAAATATAGTGGAACCTTCAAATTAGTGATGGGAGTTTCTGACACTAAATAAACTTAAATCAGCTGCAGCGAATGTGACGTGTATTACAAATTCGTAGTGATTTGTGGGCGACAATGATAGTGATTGGTTGTTTGCTTAGTCAAACTTATAGATAGTCTGACAGGCATTAGGTGAGTCATATATTCTCCTATCCTTATTATTATTGATTGTTTTCGATTTTCGGTGTGAAAGTATATTTATGTTCTAGTCAGGCTAACCACTTGTTCTTGATCTGAACTGTGTTGAAGTCCTGTAGAATAGACATTGGGAGGGAATCTGTATAGATATTTGTTTAAGGCAAATTAACGTCCCATTGGTGTAGACAAGGGAAACCGAGCGTTATAATACGTAGTCACCATGTTGGTATTTATGCCATTTTGTCTGGTGCCTGAGCTAATTGAAAAGTTTAAGAGAAGCCGGACCGAGATATGGCTCTACTACTAGTAGACTATTTGGCTGGCATTTCTCGTCCACTAGCTGCAAGCTCATTTAAAATGATTTGGTAACCAAATCGGTCCCCCAACTTACGGCTCTACGTTATGTTCTAATGTATGACTAAGATAGTCATTTAAGTTGGAAGACATGTTAATGCTGTAAATATTTTGTTAATGATAATTTCGAAGCAATTTTTGCATGTTGTGGAACTCTCAACTTCCATTTTTAAGACTAAGTGTATCAGTCAAGGCTGTAAACTTATATGCTTGGCTACGGCGCGTTTTACACACGCTTATACTAACGTAGCTATGGTCGTTTGAAGAAGTTCAATAATCACCACCACAAAAGCGAAAGACCAACTGTTGATTTGAGTTGCTGACTTTCTGATGTGTTTTGCATAGCAGTTATTTCAACAAGTAGTTGCCTCGGAAAAATCAGAAGGTCTGGAATCAACTAAATGTTATCAGCATGAAGACATCTCATTCCTACAAAGTTATTATCAATAGTTTTGGGTATTCTTTAGCGCCATAACATTTGAACCTGAATTATCGTGATGATTGACAGACTTGTTTATTCAACCACTTTTCTGTATATTGAGATCATGAATCGATCAATGTTAGATCACCATTGAGTACCTAGAAGCACTGGACGGTCGTTTCATCCCAGTATGAAACCTCTCAACAGTGCGCACCCACGATCCCGCGTGCTGGACTCGCACCCTGAAACTTGATTCTCGCGCGAACGCCTAACCTCGAAACCACTGAGTCGGCACCTAGCGGTGTACAGGGTCATGGGCGCGCACTGCTGAGGGGTTCTATACTAAGACGAAACGACCGTTCAATGCTTCCACATTTTCAATGGTGGTCTAACACATCGGTTCAGGATCTTATTAAAAACCCAACAATCCCCACAACCCTAAACTGGAAACCATTTTTTCATTTGCCCAACCCTTAGGAAATTACGATATTCCTGCTTCAAAATTAAAATAACCTTGGATTCAGAGAATAGACTTCTGAAATTGCTTATAAGCATACAATGGAGACTCAGCATAAATGACTAGTATAAACCAAAGAGAAATTACAGAGTGAAAATAATTCACCAGCACTTGCAAAGATCTAGAAAGAAAAGAAACAAATTCAAAAATGTAAGTAATGCGGTCATCAATATCTAAGGAGAGATAAAACATTGTTGTGCCTTCTCTCTTTTAATCGATCTTAGTCATTATCAAATATCTTCAACCAAAAACTACAATTATCCTGTGGACTCCCAAAGTAAGAGTTTCAAATTAAACAAACATGTCTTACAGTCAGAGTAACACAAAAGAATACCGAATACTACACTCGCTTTTTGATAGATAGTAAGGTATATCACCCCAACAATAGAAGTGGGAAGTTTCCTAAGAGTAAACGAGTGTGTTGAACATATTTGAATTCTGCCATCCTGCTAGGATTGGCACGACTCATCAAATAATTTGACTACACACGACCAGATTACTGTTTTTAAACTAAACTCCAAAGGTAATACAACCAAGTGACACAAATAATTGTCATAGATCGTATTTCAGATACTGCTACGCTAGTTTATATTCTTTGTGTACATAGCGGCGTTTCAATAATACTGTAATATCTAGCAATCTACTGGGACTAATTTTAGCAGGGGATTTTCAAAATCTGATTTCCTGAAATTATTTATAAACCACGTATCTGAAGAAATTAAAAGTGAATTCTGGTTTATGTCAGGTGTCAGCTTTCAATAGCATTTTGGAGGTGCAGTCAGCTGTTCAATTGGATTGACATTCGACATGGTTATCAAACTAGACATTCTGGTGTTCATACGCTTACTAAGTACCACATTTTGGAATACTGTGATCAAAGTGAGCTGTTTACATTTGTACAATTACAATTTTTCATATGTTGAACAAAACACAAGTGATATCAGTATAATGCATGTCTTTTTTACAATTCTGTAGAATAAACAGGCTACAATTTCACTAGTAGTTTTACGATAAAATTTAAACACTAAGTAAAAACTCGGAAGCCATTTCTTAAAAGATAAGAAATCTGACTACCAACTCTATAAAAGTGCAAATTCATTGCATTAAAATTTGAACGATATGAAAATAGATCAATATCCTAAGTAGGTATGATTCCGATCAATTTTATTTTTTAATACTAATGATATGACTATTTGAAGCGTGATGTAAAGATTTTCTGCAGACTGGTAATAGAAACCTGAATTACTTACAATGACATAAACATCTTTGGGTTCCTCTTGATAAAATTAAATACAAATTCATCATTAAAAACACACCAATGCTTTGCAAAAGACATTATATATGACATAAACGAACATAAAAAGGCTTTATAAGGAATACTTAGAAAACAGGCTATTCAGTTCACTCTTTTAAGGTTTGTCATTGGCACAAAACTTATCCACCTTTGGTGGGATTACTTTCTAGAATGATGTGAAAAAAATCTGCAAAATAGGGGAAGGTAAGAAACCTTTCGACAAGTTAGGAACGTGATGCAATAGTCCTAACTCCTAATCTGGTTGTCATAATACAGTACTACAGTGAGGTTGTTAAACTCAATGACTCGATATTATGGTGTACCATTGGAAATAGAAATAAGACGAAAATCTGAATATGGCTTCCGATTTTCTTCCTGATATTCAGTAGAGTTTGTCGACAACATACAGAACAGAGTTCTCCCATCAGTTTTCAATTATCAGTAAGCTATCTGTATAATCTTTGATATATATATATATATATATATATATATATATATATATATATATACCCGACCGTTATCTGATCCTATTATGTATTTGGTTGGAAGCGATTAAACTGTACAATGATCACACAATATAAAGGAAGTACACCGAAATATATTGCCGATTCTGACCAAAAATAAGTAATAGTACGTCATACCATAGATGTAAAAGATAGGAATATGGTGATGTTGCTACCATAACGATGTTTATAGCCATTGACCCGAAAAATTTACGAGGACTGATATACGGTTCATACTTCATTGTAACAAAGTGACCGGCACAAAATGTTGCCGGAATACTAGATGTGGAGCCACCTACTCTTAGACAAAATAACCATTCCTGAGAATATACTCGAACTGAGTATTGTTTAGAAGTATGGTAGTGAAAAGGTTTAAAGCAAACGTCAACAGTAAATATCCCATAAGGACATCAAATTTTAAATGATTTGTATCGTAATTGTGGTGTCATCACAATTCAAGAATCTTGGTTAGACGATTTACAGGACGATTGCTTAGTACCACTACGTGATTTCAAAATCTATCGTCAGTATCGACCAAACAATAAAAAGGTCTGGCGGCGGTGAAACTACGTTTGTAAACGTGAACTGGTGTCGATCTACTTTTGCGTGTTTCAAGTTTTTAAATGCCTTTATCGACTGTCTAACTTTAAGATGCCGTCCAAAACACCTGAATTAATACAAATATGTTTGTGTTACCAACATTTACGTGACTCCAGACTGCACATCATCTGCACTATCTGAGTTCGCTGTTATTGCCCTCAATGATTCACTTTCAGTTGTATGTGGTGATTTCAATCCATGTGACTGTAGCTTCCTTACGTCACTAGGTCACCAAAATGTGGTAGATTTTCCTACTCGTTTGGATGCTCATTTAGACTTTGTTTTCATTAATGATGTGGGTATATATGTGATTCGTAAACGTGCTCGATTGTCTAGCTCGGATCAATGTATAATTCGTGTTCTACTTAAAGTATATGGAAAGCATGGAACGAGTACACTCTTACATCAAGTCAGGAAAGTAAAATATAGGAATTACTCAGAAAATATTTGAAATCTGAATCACATTTACAGATGACTCACTGGAAAACACTACTGATGTTGTTACTTGTTACCTTAAACTCTGCCTTGATATTTGTTGTCCCACTGAAACCATTTTTGTAAGTTTTGATGGACTTAATCTTCACAGCTAAAACAACTACGTAGGGTAAAAGAAAGAATATACAAGGAGAAAAACTCGTAAGCTAAATGGTCTAATAAAGCTATAGATTGTACGTTTCAACTCTATGTTTACTCAAAAACTCCCCAAGAATGTGGAAACTTTTTAAAGAACTTACAGGTGACAGGCACATTAGAAGCGATAACCAGCTGAATGTGTGTGACCTAGATAAGTTTTTTGTACGTCAGTCATTGGATGTAATGCTCTCTATATCTACAGGTTTGAAGAATTGTTGTGTTCCTAGTTTCACTGAAACTGATGTCCGAAGATGTCTCCAGTCACTGAATTCATCCCAATGTTTATGACCTGATGGTATCCCAAACCTCTTTTATAAAAAAAACATGCTGACGTTCTATGTCATCTATTCACGAGTATCTTTAACAGATCCTTCTCAACCAATCTCATACCGAAAATGTGGAGAAAGACAAAAATAATCCCTATACCTAAGAAAGTATCTGGTGATAAAAATGTGAAACCTAGACCCATAGCAATAAATTCACTTTTCCTCAAAACAATGGAGAAATTATTGATACTTCCACTTCAACCTGCGATAAAAGAGCACATTGATCCATATCAGATTGCTTACAGATGCAGAAGAAGCACCTTAGATGCCGTTGCTGTTTTGCATCACAATATAGTATTCAGTTTTGAAGAGGGTAAGAAGTATGTTCGATGCGCTTTTCTGGACTATACTTGTGCTTTTGATTCTATACCAAGACAACGTTTACTTAACAGGTTAATCAGCGTCAACACTGACAGCTGGATAACAAATTGGCTATGTTCCTATCTCTTTGGAAGGGACCAGTTCACTGTGTTTGGCGGAAAGTGTTCAAAGTTTCTAGTATCCGATGAAAGTGTACCACAAGGAGCCGTTCTTTCACCTCTTCTTTTCTCTATTTTTCTGCATGATCTGCCATCTACAGAAAACACTTCTGCGAAATATGAGGATGATCTCACTGTATGTATGCCGATTTCTGCCTCTTTACATCCCATTGAATTGAATGAGTTTTTGTCTCGTGTTGATTGTTGGTCTGTTGTTAATGGTCTCAAACTTAATCTGTCTAAATGTCAAGCTGTTACCTTTGGCATAAGACATGAACGGCATCTAAACACCATTTTGAGATCCCGTAATGCTTGTGCCATTGGAGACTCTTTGATAAACACAGTGTCGAAGGTCAATTATCTTCGTGTTACTTTTTCCTCTGATCTCTCTCGGTCTTCTCATGTTTTACTGTTATCGAAGAAAGTTTTCCGTTGAAATACTTTGTTCTGAGAATTCTATATTGTACCAAAATATAATATTGAATAAAGCCATTAATAATAGTACTAGTTGGTTACCCAAACGGAAATAGGTGAAATGAGGTTTGAAACTGACTCAACGGTTTATAGTCAATTGTGGTAACTATCGCGGCAGTGAATTGTCAAGGTAGTGCAGTGAAGCTTCATCAATTGAAGTATGTAATTAGACCAGAACTTTGTTTCAGGATGTCAGTATATGACAGGTACTTAAGTTACTATGCGCTCACAACCAAATGACTCTCAAGATTGATAGTTAATATTTATGACTGCTTCCTTTATGTACGAAGCAAAGTGTTTCATAACAAACCAGTGCACAGGAATTGAGATCTACCACTAGAGATGTGAGCTCTTTGACTGTAACAACCCAGAATTTATTACTCTTAAATTCATATAATCTTTCCGAATGTGTAGTTCAATTACACACATTTTTTAGGTTCGAGGAAATGTGTGCCTAAAGGATTTCAGAAAAATCGACAAAGAATGTGATTATCAGAACTTTGTATTTCATTAAGTAATGTACAAGTGAATTTTGTATTCACAGCTATCTTGTGTGAACTCACAGGAAAGGTACTTTCGAGTTCGAATGATAACTAAACTAGATATTTCTGCAGGCAATACTCAAGACACTTCATTCTTTTTCGGAAATGTTGGATCATTTAAATGGAGTTTTTTCGGCGGATCAGGAGTCCTGAAACGCATCCATGCAACTAGAACACGATCCCAAAATGCGCCGAATGAATCTAATGCAGGTCGTACATCCAAAATAGCGAACTGATATGCTTCATTCACAGAACCTCCATCATAATAATCAATTACATAACGCACTTCTTTACCGCATCGATCGATCACCCAATCATGACGATCGAAAGGCAACTCATAACTGAAAAAGTAGATAAAAAAGTTGTTTATGTTTCAGTTTTCTCTACATATCACTATCAGAACAATTTGAAGAAAAAAATGATAAAAATCCAAGCTAAAGGTCACTAACAACAAACTCTATTCATTGTTTCACCTTGCGTACGTAGTTCAAACTACTCTTACTGCATTGGTACAATTATCTTCACTGAATTAGATTCACAGTAAAAAAGAGATGCTGATTATTACCTTAGTAATTCACAGTGTACGCATCGTACAAAAAATCTTTCGAATTCTGTCAATTAACATTTATAATATTTGTGTCCATTCACTAAACATCTAACATGTAGTAAAAAGATGATACAAGTGTAAATTGAAAACAATCTCAAAAAAATCAGAGATGACATTGACTTGTGTAGTGATTGACTGACACATGAAACACTATGATAAATTCAAATAAGTCAGTCAGCAACAACGTAAAACTTAGTACGTACATACACCAGTTGAAGTTGCCATACCACATTAGCAGAGATACAATTGTCGATTCAAATCCCGTAGTGGTAGAGGTAGTAAAAGTATAAGCATCGACGTCTTGGACGATGGACAGAATTTTTCGAAGGACAGTTCAACTGGCCTGTTGCTCCGGCAACATCGTTCAGACTGTCCTGCCCTCCATGGCCGATGACGACTGATCCACCAAATGAGGCGGAAGTCCGCAAGGAACTCCAACTCTTGAAGCGCTACAAATCACCTGGCCCAGATGACTTACCTCCGGCCCTTTATAAAGATTGTGGTGACTTTCTGACTAAGGAACTGACGACGTTGTTTACAAAGGTTTGGGAACTAGAAAGTGTACCAACGTCATGGAATGAGTCGATAGTTGTCCCTATCTTTAAAAAGGGTTCACGTCGTTCCTGTAACAACTATCGGGGGATAAGTCGACTTCCGATTGCGTCCAAGCTATTGGCTTCCGTCATACTTCGTAGGTTGTTCAAAAACCCGAGAAGGATCAACTAGCGAGGAGCAGGCTGAGTTTCGTTCTGGTCCGCCAAATGTTAGAACACCGCCATACCTATCAAAGGCCAACAATCGTAGTGTTTCTTGACATCAGGGCTGCCTTCGATTCGTTGGATAAGACTGTTCTCTGGGATTGTCTATTGAAGAAGGGTGTGCCTGAGAAGTTTATTAACATCCTAAAAGCCCTATGTAAAAACATCTCAGGCAGAGTGAGGGCATACAACCACCTCTCTCCATTGTTCCATTCGAGCAGTGGGGTTAGGCAGGGTTTCCCAATCTCACCATTCCTCTTCAACTTTGCCATCGATGACATTCTGGAAACAGCTCTGATGGATGTAAGTAATGGCGGTGTGGATCTGTTGCCTGGAGAAAGACTTCTCGACCTTGAGTATGCGGACGATATTGTCTTACTGTGCGATAATGCTCAAGCCATGCAATCCACACTTAATCAGTTGGCAATCAGTGTCCGTAGGTATGGTATGTGCTTTGCACCTTCGAAGTGCAAAGTACTTCTACAAGACTGGCAGGATTCTAATCCTGTACTCACCCTGGATGGTGAGCAGATAGAAATAGTCGAGAAGTTCGTGTATCTGGGTAGCTGCATAAGTGCTGGTGGTGGTGTGAGTGATAAGCCAGAGAGGCTTATGCCCATCTGGGCCATATTTGGCGCCTTCGTGATGTTAGTCTGGTTGTAAAAGATCGGATCTACAACGCGTCGGCGAGAGCAGTCTTGCTTTATGCTTGTGAAACTTGACCTCTCCCAGTTGAGAATGTTAGGCGACCCTGTGCTTGATCATCGTTGTTTCCGAAGGATTGCTGACATCCAGTGGTAACACCATGTTAGTAATGCAGAGGTTCAGCATCGTGTGTTCGGGCACACAGACGATAATGAAATTGGTGTTACCATCTTGAAACATCGACTTCGGTGGCTTGGACATGTTCTACGAATGTCGTCCCAGAGAATTCCACGTCGTGCATTATTTGCCGACACTGGGACTGGTTGGAAGAAGCGGAGAGGTGGTCAGTATGTAACATGGTGTCGTGGGATGAAAGAAAGCTGCAAAGGGCTGGCTTCTGTTGGTCCTTCACAACTCCCTGGCTGGGGTCCGAGAGATGGTGCAACACAGTGACTAGAGACGTTATCGGATATAGCTCAGAATAGAAGCCAGTGGCGATCCTGCTGTAACCTTCTTTTACTTTTAAATAAAAATAATATATTTGTAATATCCCAATGAGTAGAAATATATTATTTTTATTTATAACAATCAACCCAATCCTAAATTTATTCGAAATTATCAAATCAAACCTTGGTAATGATACCTACTTCTTTTACTTTCTTCGTTAAAAAAAATGGTTGTTACTTCCTTAACTGAAAGATTTTTTCTGATTGTACCTTTCCGTTTCCCCATTTTTACCATTATTATTATTACACCACCTTACATCAACCTCTTCGTTATTATTCCCTTTTTTCCTTCCCCTTAAATTCTCATTGTTTTGTGTGGCGCATTCTTGTACCAATATTTATGTGCTCAAATAAATAATAAATACCATTCGAACAAAGCTAACTAAAGAATTTATCCAAATTTTTGACATGAAGACCAAGAATAAAACCTAAAAGTCAAGTTTTAATTTCATTAGCATGAGAATGACCTATGAAACTAGTATTTTTGAATAACCTACATGTCAAGTGACCCTTTTGTTACGTTCACCTTTGCTTCAGAATACTCTGTGCATCACCATGCTATTTGATGATCATAATAAAAACTTAGTCTCATGGAGTTTGTGTTGTCCTTTGATAAACAGTTTATCGTTTTCGGAAATCGTACATTGATAAATTGAGTATCGTAAGGAGTTATTAGTATTTTACTGTCCCCATTTTAACAGCCCAAAAGTAACTCACCACCAAAAACCCTTATCATAATACTTGTAACCAAAAAAGACTTTTTAATATGGTGCAGATTTGTGTGCTTAGTATTAACCTATAAATGTGAGGGGTAATGATACTATCCAGTTGCCTAAACCAAAGTAGATGGGAACAGGTATGATTATGGGACTTAGTGGTGGGACGTTGAACTCCTTTACCGCTAAGCCAACGACCCTAGCCAAAGCATGACTTCATTTGAAAACCAATTATCAGTTGCTTTTTGGATTTATTAGCTTTTAGGTTGATGCAAACTATCTCTGAATGTCTAAATATTTAAAAACTTTCTTTACTAATTTTTATTTTTCGTTCATTTACCATGTGTACACAGTGAACTTCATATCTTGAGCAGTAAATACTGGTTATGAAAATGACCTAAAGTTGTTCACAAAAACAGTACATACCCCATGGCCCGACGAATACGTGCTCTTGGAGAATAGTTTTTTGCATCTCCAGCAAAACGACGCAATTTCGGTGTCATACATTCACTGGAAAAAAGTAAACCAAAGAGAATATAAAATATTAAAAAAGCTGGGTTTTGGCTAGCAATGAAAACCGAGGAGTGAGTTTTGTCCTACATCCGAGTTTTTGTGTTCACACATATTTAAAGCTAGTACCTATTGCTTCGAACGCCGAGTCTCAAATAGGACGAAATGTGTATCCTGTTTTCCATTGCTACCTACAATTCCACTTGACTAAATGATACATGCAAACATAGACTGATTAAATGTTATCCCTAATATCAACAAAGCGAAGATTTAAACTCTTACAAATAACCAATTAATTTTAAGATATGTTCATATGTGAACAAGAAAGATTAAATTAGTGGGTTGAACATTTAGTCTCGAAGTTTACCTACAAATACATAATTGACGATATTAAGATAAAAGAAAAATAACAAATCATAGTATATTGTTTACATTAATTATGTCTCATAACAAAACTTTCTACAATACACAATTAGTAAAGGTTGAACACTACGTAATGAAAGCAATACGGAAAAAAGCAGTCTTGTCAGTCACGAAAAAAATGTTGAAACTATGCGAAGACAAACTAAATAAGGTTCTCGTGATATTTCAGCTTGTCCTAATATGTTCATATGAAAAATAAAAACAATGAGAATGATGATTACCACTGAAAGTCATAGTATTAGAAATTCCACACACTAATGCTGGATGAATCTGACTGAACATATTGAAGAGCAATAAAATGGGATAATGCCCTTAATAATATTACGGCAGTTTTACTGTAATGAGCGTATATGCGAAATCGCACATTGCATTTGTAAAATAAGAAAACGATAAATTAAATACATCATTTGCATATCTTCCTTGGATTGTCGCTTACAAGCTCCATAGTTCTTTGATTCTCGTTGCTACTTAGACTGTTTTTGTTTTCCTTTTTCTTCTTCTTATTCCCCTCTTTTGTCCATAGGAATTCTAATTTCAAATCCTGCTACATATTACTTATATCTGTCTACATGAGTAGCACACACTACACTATAAAATAAAACTTACTTTCCAAATAGCCTTGGAGTTTGTATCAAAATGTTCACCATGGGAACTAATATGGTGCCAAAAATAAAATAAATTCAAATCGGTAAGGCGTTGCATGATAACTTAAAGCTGAAGACAAAAAGCCTATCCATCGTATATAACCCAGGTGTTATAGAACTGATTTATACGCATAATTTGCTTGATGCAAGAAATATAATAATTAACTATAAATTCGGCAGAGATTTTTAACACGATAAACTGACAATTTATTCACAAGTTCTACCTTCACTTTATCCCAACCGTAGCTGATACCTTGATGCGGTGGTCGGGCTTGCCTATCGTGATGACCAAACCGAGCTATATTGGCTGGAACATATGTTCCTGTAGGTTCTGCCATGCCAGGCAGGTCGATTGGAGAACGGTAAGACTAAAAGCAGCAACTCAAGGTCTGAGGGAGAAGTCGTACTGCTGACTACAGAGGGGTGTGACAGCAGTAAGGTGTTTCCCTCAGACAACCAGCATCTGCAGCGATGCTGCCTTCCCACAAGGAGGGGTGGGGTTAGAAAAGGTCGACCCTAAAAATGTCACACCTCACCTTACCTTACGGATTTCCGTCTCCGGCGGTAAGGCCCTTTGAAGAACGGAGCTAATACATTAAAAACCTTCCACGAAAAGGCCGTGCGAGACCGGCCTCAAGCAGTTGTCCCTTGGGCTCTGCGGTCACGCTCCCAGGTCTTTAAGACCAGCACTAATCCAATTTCCTTTTCAGGTTCCTCAAGAAATACCCTTCCACGGTGTGGGCAGCCGGGAAGTGACACCAGCCCTCATACCCGTAACAGCACACGAGACCAAGTTGGTCACAGTCAAATCCTCCCCACACCTCCTAAGAACTCTCTTATCTCAACGACTAACCCTTCTCACGTCCCTTTATCACCTCGCACGCACACTCTAAACTACATGTAGGAGCTTTTAACGTCCGGACACTGTGCCAAATAGGACAACAGGCTTCCTTAGTTAGGACTTTAGAATCTCGCGCCATTTATGTGTGCTGCGCCTCTGAAACGCCTATACAGGATCCGAGTAGCGTCATTCACTTGACCTCACCATATCAAAACAAAAAACCATCTCGATTCACGCTTCATGTATCTGGAAGCCCTGATGCTGCTTCCCGTGGCCTCGCCGGCGTAGGTATAGCATTGAGTCCTAGGGCAGAACTAGCTCTCTTAGAGTGGATCCCAGTAGACAGTCGTTTGTGCGCTGTCCGACTTAACGGAACAATAAGGACTCGGAAAGATAGAGACACTCGTCGTTACCTCTTCGTCGTCTCTGCCTACTCTCCCACTGACTGCAGCTCAGATGATGTAAAAGACGAGTTTTACAGAAAGCTTTCCGACCTTCTCCGAAAAGCTAGGTGCTCTGATGTAGTAATAATAGCTGATGACTTTAATGTTCAAGTAGGTAAAATAAGCAAGAGGGAAAAACACCTGGGTGGATCTTATAGTGTCGTGGCTCAAAGAACAGATAATGGCGACCGTCTGTTGCAGCTATGCTCAGATAACCACCTGTTCCTTGCAAATACTAACTTTAAGCATAAGGAAAAACATCTTTTAACATGGCGACCCTCTAATTCGTCCTAACGTTGGACGCAAATAGACCACATCGCTATCAGCCACCGATGGAGGGGCTTGAATTCAGATCATGCTCTAGTGCAAGCGCGTATTTGTCTGCGTCTTACTGAACGTAGGAAAGACACTACAAGGAAACCTCTTATGGTCCTACCCAATGATAGCCAAGCTAAGAATATGTTTCAGGAACAACTAGAAAAAGCTAGGCAGCCGTGTAAGTGATGCCCATTTCAAAGCAGCGTGGAATGATATCCGGAAAGCTGTGTAAACAAGTAATATCTGCTAGTAAGGTCAATCATAATGTTAGGGGGAGATACTGAATCTCAGCAGCATCTACCGCACTGATAGACGCTCGAAAAATCATCAAATCTGGATCTGAACGTGACGAAGAGCGGAGTCAGCTTAAGCGCAGGCTGATAAGAAGTCTACGCAATGATCGCCCCCAAATGCCCTGACGCGCCCAAGAGTGAGAAGAGTCAGCTCTCCCTCTCGAAATGCTCTCACGTGACCAAGCTCATGTTATAATTTGTGGCCTGTGTGCCCTGTTAATGTATAACGTAACGATACTGCCAATTAGAGAGCAGTGAATTATCGACCGGACCAATGACGCGTAAACCCTTACGAGCAGTCTAGAGTCCTTGTCGCTCGTTCTTCCTGCCTAGCTCAGCCAGTTAAGTTCAGAACACCAATTTCAGCCTCTGCGATGAATCATTTATTTCAAACAAACTAAATTTATATACCAACCAGACAGACCACATCGTACCATAAGACAGGAAACAACATTTGTACAAGAATTAGCCTAATGTGGCTGTGAATGAGGGAGGTAGTAATTAATAGACAGGGCATAATTCAAGAATGGTGAATCGTAGAAGAATAGTTGATAGGTCAAAATAAAGCTCATACTAAGAGGAACATGAATATGTATAGTTTAGTTATTTAACAATTATACGATAAAAATATACACATAGTATTGGTCCATAAATGGATCCCAAAAGTTACCATTCACTATGCTTATTGGGACATAACAGTATACAGCCACAGTCCTACTCAATGTTGTTTACGAAATTGAGAGGGCGGAAAGATAATAGCCGGTACTTTAACTGGGTTGGTGGGTATGACAGATTGACCTACAGGAGTTGGAAAACCCTGATCACAAATCAATGGCGTACATGAACTCCATAATCATGAAACAAATGGCACATGAACCTATTGTTGGTCACCGGTTACCATGGGACTGAGTCTCCTAAAGTTGTTCCACTGCCTTGTGGGTTAGACCTCTAGGTCAAAAGCTCGAGATGTGGCCCCCTAGGAAAACGGCCTGCCTCGGTTTGGGCATCCAGACAATATTCCAGCCCTCACACGAATAAATGATAACTGCTATTGGCCTCATTGTCATTGTGTGGCGCATCTGTATTTGGAGCCTCTTTGTACCAATGTTTATGTGTTCAGATAATAAAGTAGACAGATATGTTTACTCTATTTTCCCCTAGATACTAAGTCTCAAAGTTATTTTAAACCCTATGATTCAGTGGATCTATTCATTATTCTCAAGTTATATTGTTTACGCCTAATCTTTTCTAATACCATTGACACTGTTATCACTTCCACTATTCTAGCATCCGTTTTTATAACTTCCTCTCGTTGTAATGATATGGTGTGGCAACAGATGTACACATGACAGATTCTACGCTGTTCTTGGCTGGGTGACAGATTTAAAACACTTTCAGCCAGTATTACAGTATTTTGTTGAAGTATTTTTTTTAAATCCTTAAATTCACAATCATTAGCAAACTTAATGAATTATTTGATTATAACTACTAACTTCTGGATTGTGAAGACCGATATGATTGATTGTTATAAAATTCAGTAAGCAATTAGAAATAGACAATTACCGTATTCATTATTATACTTAGTGATCAGTGTGAATATCTATGGATTATACTTATAAACTCGAACACAAGTTAGTTGATTAGCACATAAATTAGTATATGCTAAAAAAGTAAATAAGTTTCATTAAACAAAAACTTGTAATTTGAAGGAAAATTCAATGTATAATTAGGAATCATCTTAACCGTAGTTTTCATACTTAATTTACATAACTACATGGTAAATTTGCGAAGTCTTTCATAAAGTAAAACCAAGTTGGGTTGCCTGAGTTTATTACGATCTCATTGTTGACAATGTAGATTAAGAAAAAAACCCGAACATCCTTCGTCAACAAATAAGTGAATCTGAAAAATACATCTAGATTATTTTTAATGACCACGTTTAGCTGTCAAGAAGTGGTTGAACAAAAAGAGACAGAGTTGACACCAACTTAAAAGTAAAAACTTTATCACATGGGCTGTTATGAATTTAAACAACGATTTATCTACCAAAATCTAAACAATCCGGTAAAATCAATAACCATTATCTAATAGACATAATTCACAGCTTCGAATATGGAATACTTGCACCGAATTGGTGATGTTATTTGTGTCATTCATTTATAGTATAAATACGTTCACATGGATTCTAAATACTGACTTTTATACACTATAAAGGGTTCATCGTGAATAGTTCAAAACGTGTTTATAAAATAACAGAAGCTCGTATCCGAAATTAATGACCAGAAGTTAGCAGGGCCTAGAAAAAATACGCATCGACCTAAATTGTTACATCTCTCTTCAGTTAGAAATCGACGTGATGAAAAGCAAAAAAGTGCATCAATATTATAGATAATGTTAAATAACTAAATGTAAGAAATATAGCTCAGTTATTATAAAAAGCTTAATATACTGAATTCCATCACTACTAATAGGAAAATGAGCTTAGTTTTTACTTCAAGAGAATTCACACTTACTTAGCATGTAGAGCTTCCCATTTTAAAACCTCACGCCAAGCTAATTCATTATTTATATTATGTATTCGTATGATGTTGTTCATATCTTCAGGTTTGATATCATCATCCCGCCAACGCCAACCTTTACGAAGCATAGCGTTCCAAAACATTTGAGGTGAAGGATATATCCATTTTTCACCATCAGATCGATCTGCTTTTGGAATGGAAGACAATTCGCGTTCAGTGGACAGTGGGAAAGGTTGTCCAGGACTTGGGAGTTGGTTAGGGGGTGGCATCTAAAATACAGCCAATTGGTTTAGAAAAAATAATAAAATATTTAAACTAATTGATAATGATCAGTAATGAAGATTATCTAACAGCAAGTGGAACTGTTGTCTTAAAAGTAGAAGTCCTAAAGATAGGTTTTTAACTATGAAATATCTTAACGTATAGCATACAACAGCAGTTTGCTAACAAATACCCAAATTTATAACACACAACTCATAATACAAAATCTGTGTGACTGTTGTTCGTCGTACAGCAAAAGTTCGCTTGTCAAATCAAGTTTTTTCATGATTAATATAAACGATCAATGCTCTCCCTTGGTTTAAATGTTTTACACACTAACTTAGGAAACGTCTAGTATTTGTGACTTGGTCAATTTCTTTGTTGTCTTATATAGTAGCTTCCTCAAGTGTTTGATGGGTAGGCTAGTTTATGAACTAAATAAGGCGATACAATACAATCTAGATTTGAGTTCAACAAAGTCAGGAGCATTTCTTGTTGTGTGTCTTTTATATCCTCACCTGAGGCAACCAAAATTGAAAACAACTACTTAGCTAACTTGAGAGTTATTCAAGGTCCCCAAACGCACTGACACGGCCGAGAGTGGGAAGAGTCAGCTCTCCCCCTTGAAATGTTCTCACATGGCCACGTACTTACAACTACTCGCTGCCTTCTCGTGGCAGGTGTTGCTTACGAAATTGAGAGGACGAAAAGTGAATGTTCGACGCTTTAACCGGGTCAGTGGATATAGAGGATCCACCTAGGAAAGTTGGAAAACCCTGATTCCAAACCAATGGTGTACATGGGCTCTAGGATCCTGAGGGAACAAATGGCGTGAAGCAACGTTAGGAGATTCAGTTCCACGGTAGCCAGTAGTCAACAATAGGTTCGTGCGCCATTTGTTTCCTCAGGATCCTAGAACCCATGTACATCACTGGTTCGGAATCGGGGTTTTCCAACTCCTATAGATGGATCCTCCTCATCCATCAACCCAGCTTTGGAGCCGGGCGTTTGCTTTTCGTCCTCTTGATTTTGTAAACAAGATCCCCACCGCAAGAAGGATGTAAAACTTTCCTGGCAGTGGCTGTACATGTGTGGACATATGAGAATATTGAGTGACAGAGAAGTCTACCAACATACATTATGTACCTACACTTTGAAGCAACTTGAAACATCCGCGAACTGTCTAGAAATGAAATAGGTGAAAGAAAATTAAGAAGAAATGGTATTTTATTAGTGAAACGTATGGTTTAGTAGTATACGTACGACCATGTAAGAGGTCAATAAGTCCACTGTTTAACCTCTTTATTATAGAATGCATAGTCTACTTCACTCGAAATATCTTCCAGTAACCGTGTGAAACATTATCATGGAAGTCGCATTCGCAAACTTTAGATACTGGGAAAATTCCCAGCAGTGATAGTCTTTTATAAGACCCTCCCCTCTACTGCAGCTAAGTTTATAACAGGAAATAAAAAAGATAAGTTAAGAATAATGCCACATAAAATAATAGCGAATGTACCCGTAACGGACAAAGATTACTACAGAAACTGAATACTAAGTTGTTGCTCTTCATGGACCTGACGCTTTCGGAGCCAAACTTGGAAACAACACCATGATTCGGTTTAAGGGTTTTTGCAGTAATAGTAACGGAACTATGAAGACTGACGATAATTATATTCTATTAGCCGATCCAGTGACTCAACACAGGTAGTTCCAAACAAACTTATTCCCAGAACCTATAGTGGACAGTGAACAACATTTATAATCTTGCTTGCAAAAGGAGGCCGAGATTACAGGCAGAACCCCAGCAAAATTTATTTCAACAAATGAAAACTTGTCCTTTGTAGGCGCTTGGTATAAAAATAAGAGTCATGAAATAGTAAAGACATGGGGACTATGAAACTCACAAGATTGTCTGGACTGAGGTTCTTGTATCCATGATTCATTGGACATCCATCACTTTTCCCAACAGGACATTCACTTGGCATCTCCTTTTCTTGGCCCACTTGCTGACTCCGAGAAGAAATCAAGCCCATTATTTCAGCCTATAGTCGGACGACCATACACAGAAAGAACCTTTAGTGAACAAAACAGCGGACGGAGTATGGATTCACTTAAAAATATGGCCTCTGTATATCTACCATTTGCACCAAGTCACCTGGGCTATTGATGCAGAAACATGAAGGGTAATTTTCATTCAAAATCTGTGAGATTTATGCTTTCCAGCTTAAGTTCCATACTGATAGAAACGTGCGAGCTTAACCGAAATCGACCAACAATACATCAGTTTCTGTTGCCAAATAACTGTTGGTTAGTGGATGGACACAGGAATTTCATCAAAACGGCTAACAGTATATTTCTACGACGACCCTTATCCTTTAATGTTTTTTCTCAATTGGCGGTTGAGTACAATATACTCGAGGTCATTCAAATGAGTTTTTATTCCTACTCACTTAGTTTTAGTCGAGCCCAAAATTGTGGATCTCGGCGTAATTCAATCGGTAAATGCTAAGTAAACGCTTAGGACCAAAAGTGTCCCGTGATTGCCTCTTCTACTACTTTTAATGACCAAACAAATGCTTTTTCGGACACTTAAGTGTTGCATGTAACCTTTCAATATACCATCATAATTTCTTAACCTTGAGAACCCTATGAAAGAATACGGCCGTTTCATTGTATTTTGATCGATTTTAGAAACGACTTTCATATGAATCCAGGTGTTCGCTTAACTAACAAATGTTTTCATGTTCTGAAATTTTTAGGACTACCGTCAGGTCTACTCATTCCACGAACTTTGATCTGACCAAATTTGTTGGTGTGAATATGTACAAACATCTTAGACTGTTTGACCTTATTTGTCTAAGGAATCCATAACCAATAACAGACCACGGTAGCGCTTACTACGAAATACGCAACTATTTCGGAATGTTTCAACATCTAATACCTTTATAACAAGCTAGCATAAACCGATGAATTTCCTAGCCATCACTTCTTACTGTTTCAATACGGTTCCACGTACTTAGCAATGTTTGATGTGTGGCAGCCTAGTCACTTGACCACTGATTCTCTTCAGTTTGTGAATTTGTATATCTTGTGAGTCAAATGAGTGCATTTGTCTCAGGGAAATGTTTCTGGATACCAGAAGCTAACACATTACCAGATAGGGTATTGGTCGGCGGAAATGGGAGAAACGATAAACAGAAAATGTAAATGCTTTGAGATGATTGTTTCAAGCATAAACAATCTACTTAATTGCTAATTTGTAAGAAGACGGAACTTAAGGAATAAGATGAGAACAAAAATCATAATAAGGGAGATGAAAATTAGTGACTGGTATGCAGTAATAACAACCGTAGTATTTTATAAGACGTACATTAGACACAGCTGATACAAGAGTCAGACGGTAATCCATGAGATTGTATGCGCCGGTTAAGTCTCTTCTTATGGTCATCCGCTAAGGAGGCTGTGGTTACTTTGGCTGAAAGTACATTCCAAATGGCGACAACTCTTAATGTGAAAATTTGAGAGCGTACCTGTGTGTGTGCTCTATGATGTGCAATCTTTAGAGGGTTGCCTTGAAGAGCGTGGTGATGACGTTCCGGTATTATCTTCACGTTGGGGTGGCTTGGAGTATTTAATGTGTTGTATGTCCTTATCAGTTAACCTCTTATTCTCCTTTAGCTCGGCAAAAACAACCCCAGATGTTAAAGTATGTTTCCGTGAGATTTATTTTCAATTCATTCACCCACTCAGTTGCCCGTCTCTGCACCTTTTCCGGAGGATTTACATGTCTCTTGATGAGAAAGGATGCGACGATATCGCAGACTTCCAGGTGGGACCGTGTGTACGTTAAAAAGGGAGTGGGGAATAATTCCGGGGTGATTTTGTTAAGCTGTCTTCTTAAAGAGTGGAGAGTTGTGTTCGCTTTGACTGAATCCCTATGTAGTTCGAGCTGGTGTCTAAGCTCTTCGTGGTTATATGCCTGAGACCGCGATTTGAAGAGCCAATCAACCGCGGATTTCCACGAAAAGCGTTAATCGTTTGGGTCAAATGAGTCAGGATGTTCATGACATGACATTTCAACAGACTGTGTTTGAACCCATTGTCTACTGTATATTTCTCTATTGTCTTTAGGTTCCTAAGAGGCTTAGATACATTCGTTTCGTTTTGCATGTACCTCCAAATCTTTGCATCGTCTGCATAGACTAGTGCCTCCGATCCAATTTTATTTAAAAGGTCATTAGTAAGGATCGGGAGCAAAAGTTGATCTCAGACAGTCACCCTGAAACTCATGATGTTGAGACTCGCGATCTCTATTTACCCTAGTAAGAAAATCCTGTTCACTAGGTAGTTTGGGAGAAATATAGGAGTGGAAGAGTGAATTACACCTTTGCAACCTTCACTATGAGAAGTGCGTGTGGTACTTTGCTGAAGGCTTTCAAGAAGTCAAGGAATATCACATGAACCTGTATCTTTCGGTGCCAGCAGCTCATACTATGAAAAGATTGAATGCACAGTACCTGCCACTAACAAACCTGTGTTGAGCTTCACAGTGTATGTTGTTTTTTGACAAGCGTTCCCTCATTTGATCACTGACCAGTTCTTCCATTACCTTAGATATTATTGGAAGTAACGCGACTGTCTTATAACGAACTTGACATTCCTTATATACCTCACTGAAGATTGGGGAAAGTAGCCTATTTAAACTTTTCTTGTCTGTTGTTGTGACTCTGGTGAGTGGCTGAACGGGTCACATACCACTATGCTGATGGAACCCATACAGTTTTTCAGAATTACAGGCCCATTGTTGTCACATTCTAGTGACTTTTCTGAGAGCGTGAATTTCAGTTTTCCTAAAACTAAAGCAGGAAATTATTTGCATATTTCCCAAACCATCAACTGATACTACAGTTGAGGGGTATTCCGCGTTTGTAGGTTCCTGATGTAACCAGTCGTTGAAGTTGGCATCAAAGATCTCTGTCATCTCTAAGTAAGTTAATAATCGCAATTTTCCCTCTAAAAGAACAAAACCCTTAGTTGGTAGTTTTTCTCATAGTCATGAAACCGTAGAAATATTTAGGATCAATTTTAATTTTGGTTGCTAGCTTGACCTAAAACTCTCTCCTGTCCCTTTGAACTCTAGTGCTGCATCTGTCTCTTAATGTCAAATAAGAGCTACTGTTAAACTCTTTCAGAAAGAATTTCCATTTGTCTTAGGCTCCCCTTTTAATCTGTAGCAGGCTTTCTGTGTCTTACTTAGCTCAAGACCTCACATTTCCAAGTATATGCTTTCCTTGAAGTACAATGTGTAGAATGTTATCCTGAGTGATGTCCTTCACTTTGTTACAGTGATCACCCGCTGTTAGCCCCCAACACTCTCGCGACCATGGGGCGTGTTGAAGATTATATCTCATCGTCGTGTAGTTTACCTTTGTATAACCACTTTGGGAAACGTCCTCGACGCTCCGAATCATCTCGTTTTTGATAACATTAGATATTACTATCATGGTCAGTACTCACTATTGGTATATGGATATCGATGTCTTTCACTAGAAGATGATTATCTGTTAGCAAATAATTTAATTCACAGAGTTCTCCATCTTCACTCGATAGTGTGGGACCAGTCCAGTGTGCAGCCAATCTCGAACTTCTAATAGCCCTGAAAGGCCCCTTAAGAAACTACCATGTAGAGTTTATTTTCTACTTCTAGACATTCATGGATGGAATGTTGGCGTCTTCAGCTAGTAGCAATTGGCTGTACTTCAGATGTTGTATTTTTGGTATCGTCTGAATAATTTTATCCTTTGGAATGTCAGTATCGGTGGCAGCATCAGCATGCTTCCGTTACCTAGGTCAGTCCAATACTTTTCGTTATTACGGCTTTTAAGTAACAGTAAATGTATATTAGCACTTCCACCTCTGTCTCTATGTACCCTATAGTACTGAAAAGTGTCACTCCGTGCAAGTCCACTTCGTCATCGATGAGAACAGAAAATAGCCATTTTTCTATCAGGAATATAATCTTCAAATCAAACTGAAAGCATATGTTTTTTTTAATTTCTCCCAATTTACTTCTTGGTCCTCTCACATTGTTTTCAAAACAGCTTGCTGTTTAAACTGAATCGGGCAGTTTAGCACAAGCTAACCTCTGTAGGTTTTCCGCCTGTAAAGCCCATCTTATTCAAGAAACTGTGGTCTCTGTGTTCTGTATTATGAGTTAAGGCTGTTGCTTTATATTTTTAGGTTGGCTCTAACGACATCTGATGTGACTCCAGAGATTTTTTTGAGCTGTACCAGGTCTAAAGGGCCTTATTTGGGTCCTCTCTGTTCCCAGGGCGTGAGTTATAACGGACGAAGTAACCTGGACACTTCAAGTATCGTAGTATTGTGAAGGCCTACGCTACAAGATGGCCAACGTCACTGTTGCATATCACGTCCGTGAGGTTCGTGAAGACCACCACTCACTAGTTCACGCACTCAGAAATGCCAAGTAGGTTGGGTCCTGGGTGTTTGTTTATAACTTTCTAGTGTCATCTCTTACAAACATCTTATGGGTACATAAGTATCGTGAAGAAACCATTTCGGGTTTCTTCAAAAATGCAATAATACACAATCTTCAATCATGTTAGCATTATATTTGCCATATCTAAAAAAGTAATAATAATATTATAATAATAAATCGGGTCTGTGCAATTGAGAAGAATATTCGATTGAGTTTAAAGAAGGAAAGGAAAAAATAACGGAATAGAAATAAAGGAGACATGAAATACGCAAATAGATTGATAGGCGTGTTTATGAACACAGAACATGAATTAACGTCCATCTATATATCGTCAAATTAATAACAAAAAATAATTAGGAAGAAATAACTTATTATCGCAGTACGATATGACGCTAGAATAAATGTTTGTGCAGTTAGCGTTTGGAGTGATGCTATGAAAGTCTCAATTAAATAAAAAGGATAACGAAATATCAATATGTATGAGTCATATATGCATAGTGAGAATAAAACGGGCCTGAGAAGTTAATTTAAATGTAACACAAGTTATTGTCTTAATTACAAATGTCGTAATTTTAAGAAGAATATTTATTTAAAAGGAAAGAAGAGAAAGAAAAGAAGTGAACACCTAGTGAAAAGGTTCATCCATGATAAGAACAATAATTGTGCAATGAATATCGATCTCAGAAGTAAACCAGCAATTGAGAAAAATAAAATAAATATCCTTTAAAGCACTCGGATGAGTACATTTAGATTTATGTAATAGAATACAGAGTGAAACCGGATATTAGTATAAATATTTGTGCAATAATAATTAGGAATGATGCTATGAAAGTCAAAATTGATTTCAAAGGACAATCTGGGATTAAATTATTTAGAAGGATAAGAAGTGATAGAAAGGATATACAATTTATCGAGGGACCAATAATGATAAGAATAACGGTAATAATGATAAATACTAACATAAGCAGACTTCATATATTAAGATGAATAGAAATAAAATAAAATAGACGTGAAAAGTTTCGAAGGTTTCATTTTACTTTTCAGAAAATTAAATGGATGACGGACCTTGTTTGTACAAGTCATTATTGAATACATTGATATTCAATAGGTGACAATCCACTTTCGGAAAGAAAATCATAAAGGAGACTTCTGAACCGGGTTGTAGTTTCACTGCAACGGAGGTTCACCTGCAGTCTGTTCCACATGGTTGAGTAGCGAATAAGGAGAAAATTCTGGCGTAAGTTTGTGTGGGTTCTTGGAATCACTAGAATATTCTCCTTATTGAGTAGATTGTGGGATGATATCATAAGGTATAAAGGGTTGAATACCGAAGAGTAGGAAATATCGTTAATAAGCCTATAGATAAAGACAAGATTTAATTTGATGCGTCTGATCCAAAGAGGTTTTAAGTTGA